GTTTCATCACAATCCCTTTCAAATTGTTGAAGTCTATACGAATCTTCAAGAACGCTACGTCTTTGTGATGATTTTGCAAGTAATGCCGTACGTCTTTCTAACAACTAAAAATTATTTTGTTATACACAATTTTTATATTAATGTTAAAAATGTTGACTTACCATTTCACGGCGTTGGGCAACATCTTCAGTGGCGTAATGTTGTCCTTCAATTAATTTTGTAGCAAATTCATCAAGAGCTTTAATTTTTTCTTCCTGAGCAGCTAAAGATTTTTCAAAATCTTCATGCTTTTTAATCAATGCTTCAACACTATCTAGAGAATCACCCAAATCTTCATTGGATAAGAATGCCTAAAGAAAATATATTGTATTTATAAAAAATTTGATTATTTATTACCATGATTTATGGTATATTATTATGTTTTAAATATACAAACTTCTTGTTTAGCCATCCATGTATCAGCTTGTTCAGTATCGCGATAAAACAATTGCAAATCCATACATTGTTCATACAATATACGTCTTTCTTCCCATAAAGCTAACAATGAGCTCTTTTCACTGATTAAATTACTTAAATTTTCACTAACTAATGTAGGAGCATTTTCACTTTTTAATATGTGTTCTCCAGATTCTAATGCAATACGGAAACTATCTTCACGAGCATCAATTTCTCCCTATTCAAAGAATAAGTATTAATTAAAAATTTAATTTGAAATATAGTTATTAATATACCTTATGTTCTTGATGTCTTTCAAGTAAAGCTTCAGCGCCAGCTACATCCTTTGCTAATTCATCAGAATATATTATTGCCTTCATATCATTAATCCAAGAAGTCAAATCACGGAAATCAGCTAAGAAACGTTGAAGTAAATAAGATTCATCTAACTTTTGTCGACGTTCCTGTGCTTTAGCTGTTAGACGTTCCCAATAAGCAACAATTTCTCCACGCTTATTTTGAATTTGTGAACTATGATCAGCATGAATTCCACACAAACGATCTGCTTCTTGGCCCAAAATTGAAACTTTATCTTCTAAAGCTGCTAAATCTCTTTCAACTCCTTCATGTTTTCTCTAAAATAAGAAAAAAATCATACAATTATTGTTTAAAAATAGGCTAGGTTTATTCTATACTATGCTGAGCTTTATTTATTTAATATGTAGGTAATTAAATGTTGGTAACATATTACAAGTTGAATATTTTAAGCTCTACATAAAATGTTTTAGTGTATACTCAACATTATGATATAGTATGGCAAAATATCATTCTTATAATATATGATACCTCATTAAATATACTACTAAATATGTAATAAATAGTTACTATGTTTGGTATTAATATTTTTATAACAAACCTGAAGTGTTTGCACACTAGCCAAATCTCTTCCATAGTCTTCGGAAGACAATATACCATCTTTTTCAGATATCCAAGCTACAGTTTCATCAGCATCACGATTAAAACGTTGTATCTCATGAGCCCCAAATAATCGTTCTTGCCTCATTAAAGTTAATTGTTTAAGCCGAGTCCATGCTTCATTTAAATCCTAAGTATACACAGTTAAATGTATATGTAAATAAATAAATACTTAACAGTATAATTGTTTAATTACCTCCTTTTTTTTCAAAATTGTTTCTCGTTCAGGATGTCCTTCCAAAACTAATTTGGAAGCTAAATCATTTACTTCAGTAACACGATATTCTTGTGATGTCATATCCTTTTGAAACTCGTCAAATTTACGTTGCAATACTTCTACATGTTCTAGATCAGCGCCAAATTCATCAGTAGTGACAAAAGTTTCCTAGACACATTGTCAAGAATAATTAATATGCAGATTAAAAATAATTGTTTATTAAACTCAAATTTATTATATACCTTATCATTAATCCAAAACATAACCTCATCACATTGTCTTAAGAATTGAACCAAAACCAAAGCTTGCTGTAATTTAACACCTTTTTCAGCCAATTTTGACAAAAGTAAATCCCAATCTTTATGTAATTGCTCTAAAATTGTTTATAATTTAACATTAATATCTATCAATTTTTGTATTTTTATGACAATATTTAAAATTAATTGGAGTGATCTATAAAAATGTACATTTTGTTACTTGTTTAAAATACATTTATAATATGTAATATCAATAATTTTGCAAATCATAAAATTATTCTAATTAAATGATGTTTCATAAAAAAAATATATTTATACATATTTAAATTACCAAGTCTCTGACGAATTTCAGATGATGCAAAATGATTTTGATTAATCATTCCCATTCCAGTGTTATCTAAAACAACAATTGCATTACTATGTGCAGCAACTTCAGCTTCAAATGCTTGATGTTTTTGAATTTTGGCCTAAAAAATTAAAATACATTAGTTTTTATCAGTATAAAAATTAAATTTAGTAATTATAACCTGCAAATTTGTAGGATCTTTATAACTTTCATCTGATGCAGCTTGTGTTTTTTCAAGTATCCAAGATTCAAGTTCATCTGCATCTCTTTTAAAATACTGTAATGAAATACAAATAAAAATAAAAATTTCTTTAAATAATTTCAAACGTGAAATAATTCAATTTTCAAGTTACTTGAAATCTTCTAGAATCTTCAAGTTTTTCTCTTTTTAAACGTGCTTCAGCTTTGAATTCACTATAGCGACCAAGTACTTGAAAACGACGATTTTGAATATCCTCAGCAGATTCGAGGATTTTCACCTCCTTTGGAACCAGAGGATCCATTTTGAAAATGTCTTAAAGAAAAAATCAGTCTTATATTAAAATTATCTAAATACAATTTCAAATCAGTAAATACATCAAACTGAAATTAATTATTTTTTTAAATGTTCTGATAGAAATTAGGATTAAAAGTAATAGATAATTATTTCGAGATTAGCTAAATACAATAAATACTGACTATTAATAATTTATCATTTAAAATAATAATGAATGAAAACAACTAACTAGTAGATTATTATATTATTAGGTACTATTATATTTTGTGATATCAATATATCATGTACACTGTAATGTAAATAGTAAACACAAAATATTAATTCTTGAATTAAAATGTACAATGATTTCAGTTTTAATTATCTCATCTTTATATAAATAAATACAATAATACAATATACACAATTTTAATATATTTTTGAACCTTAAACCACCTAATTACCTAATTACACAATTAAGATAATTTTATTTACAAATATGTATCTACCATCAAAAAATTTATTCTAATAGAGTAATAGTTTTTTTTTGGGGGGGAAAGTATTTATTATTTAATTTATAATCTTTACCTACTATCTTTGAAATAAATTTAAAATAATATAATAATTTAACCATTAAAAATAACAAATCACCTATTTCTAATTTATCTTAGCTTCAAAATCATCTGAATTTATATACTATCTAACTAAACAGATAATATAGCTTTAATTTTTATTGTGTATCCTAAACATTAAGCAATTTAAACAAAATTTAAATAGGTAAATATTAAAATTAGCACAAGGTCAAATTGATTAAGTACAATATAACATTAAAATAAAGAGCTTTTTTACCATTACATAAAATTTCAATTTATAATATTGATAATGATTAATTTAATATTTTTAATTTTATTTGTTTAGTGTAAATATACCAAGTTAGAGGGATAACGAAAACCCTCAATATGATATCTTAAGTCATCTTTTAAAATATTAAATATAATAGTACACTTAATATATTATTTACATTATATTTTGATAAATTGTAGCTAAGAATTTTCCATAATAATAGATATGACAATCATTATACAATTTTAAATTCAGGTAGGAATTTAAATTTCTAACTACTAGTTATTAAAAAACTTAGCACACTAAATAGCAATTTTTTACACTAAATTAAATATAGGAAAACTTATAATTTTAATATCTTATAAAAAATATTTAATGAGAAATTAATTAAATTAAAATTAGATGGGCATCTACAAATATTTTAGATTTATGTTAATAAATAGAAAATCAAATACCACTTACTAAGTTCTGTATTTGTAATATTTGATTTTATATAATATAGTCTCTTTTACATGACTATTAGACTATTTCACAAAATATAAGTTATGGTTTTTAAAAATAGTAACAAGTTAACCTTTACTGAGTCATGCATTGTAAGACTAACACTAATATCATATTTTTCATTAAAAAAATATAAAAACTCTATTATTGAAATTAAATAGATTAACTTTATACAGTTAATGGACAGTTGTAGACACAACATAAAACTTAAAAAATACGACTAATAAACCACTATCAGATTTCAAGTGCCTATAAAAAAGGTGTAGTAATTCTATTATAATATATTATCATAGGTATAGTCATAAAAATACACTATTAAGGAATAGTAATAGGTCAAGTAAAATCCAGACTTCTAGGCTAGGACATAAATTACGAGGACGACCCAAGGATTGTGCAGTTGTCACACAATCTCTGTGGTCCCATTAAAATGAAAAATGAGAAAATTTCGTAGCAAAACACCAAGCTGGGTGTGGCAAAAGAAAAAGCGACACGGTTACGGCGGCGCCCGGGATCGATTACACGAAACAAAACGTCTAATTACCTTGTTCGTTCAGCACCAATAATGAGTACAATGTTTGTTTATTTCTCCTTTAAACGCAAATGGTCATTTCTCGATGAACGTCCGGCCAGTAATTGACACACCACACGATTAATTGTGTTATTATAACTGTAGATACGAGCACAGTACTAGATGAGAGAAAATAACAAACGAATTCCGTTCAATAAACTCGAAACTTCGTCACCGACGGAATTGGATCGTCGGGCGGGCAGGGAGTTGGGAGCAGCCGGGCAGAACCCCCTCCAGAGTATTATTATGTTCTATATACAGGAATACCGCGATCAGTGTTACCGCGGTAGAGACAGAAGTAGTTGAAAAACATAAATGAATCTTTGTTTGCTCAAACTTGATATTATTATATTTTTTTGTATAAAGTTCCAATGTTTTATATTTAAATTATCGGTTTTTTATTTAAAAAACTTATTTTTGAAATTCAAGAACTATTGAAATGTAATAATGTATTAGTTCTGGTGTCCTGCTGAGTATCAGGATTTTAAATTGTAGTGTCAAACTCGTACATATTATTATTCTTATAAACTTGAAGAATTTCAGCAAAATGGCGCGTAATCTGTTTTGTGGTATCGCTTTTACGGCACTGATTGTGTATTTTCAATGTTATCAAAACAAAACAATCAACAATAATTTTTTTAATAATAATGTCTAACAGAAGATAATTATAGATTCTTAATTTTAATACTTTTGGACGTTTTTATGAAATTAACACTGTCGATTTTTAAAAGTATTCCTTTTTTAACGAGTGAACAAAATGAGTAATCAAAGTTCAGCGGCTAAAGTAAACTGTTACTATTATACTTGTGTAATAATATATTTTAATAATTAAATACTTAATAGCTTATATTTTGCTTAGGTCGGTGAGATTTTCAGTGCAGCAGGTACTGCATTCAGTAGATTAGGCGAACTGACATTGACGTTGCAACCATCAAACGATACCCCTACACCTAACAGGTATATCATTAATTTACATTATTAATATTATGTTATGCATTTTTGGAATGGTTTTACTAATATATTTGATTATTATTAGCAAATGGACTGATGATGATATAGAAATGCTACAAAGTGCTGTAAAGAAATTCACAGATGACTTATCTATTATCTGCGACCAAATCAAACAGCGGACAGTGTAATTATTTTATATTATTAATCAGTAATAACCGTTGGTCTTTCAAAATATTTGTATATTAAAAAGCTAAATGCACTATTAAATTAATCTTGTTTGTAAATAGTTTTGATTTTATATTAAAATATATATTTAATATATATTAACTGATCTTTATTCTCCCATCTTCCAATTCATTAATTCAACTTTCCAGATCACAAATACATACAACTCTCAAAAGAAAATCTTATGAGAACCGAACAATCAATCCAGCTACATTGACAAGAACACCAATGTCCATAACATCACCAATATCAACAAATATACTTAATACAAAATGTAACTCTGCTGATGTTACATTAAACATGTTAAATGCACCTCAAGAACATAATTCTGGTTCAGATGATGTTCCTAGTGAAAATAACCGACACAGCTTCAATTGTGGTGTTGATATTGAATAGTTAAGATAAAATTTTAAATTTATCTGACATACCAATAATTAACTTAAATTAAAAAGTTGTGTTATCAGTTATTGATTTTTACTCGTTTAATGGTCTCTTTTTTTCTCCATTTTATAAATATATACTACTTCTATTTTTCTTTCTTTAATTTTAATTTTTATATGTATATTTGTCATTTTTATTTCTGATTATTTCAATGTTCTATGATATTCATAACAAAAGAACAAAATTAAATACTTGATAAATAATAATATTGCATTCCTAAATTTGCAATGATAAGTATTGATTTTTAAATCAATTGTTCTATAAAGTAGTACATATGATGATATTGGCATTAAATTAAGTTTAATTTTAGTCAAATCATGAAAATGAAAAATGTATATTTAATTTTTTTTAATTAAAAAAAAAAAAAAATTGTCTAAACTATAATCATTCTGAATGTATGTAATTATAATATATAGTAAAATTATTGTTTAAAATATTAATAGGTTTTTGTATGTTCAATTATATATTTAATAAGTAATTAATACAATTTAAAACAGTATTTACTTGGTACAAATATATTTTACTTTCCAACAATAAATTGTTACAAATATTAACTTTTTTTTCATCATTCATAAAATATCATAATAATTTACTTTGAGATAATAAAATTCACTAAAAATTAATTAAAAATTTTAATTTATTGAAAATATTTATTTATGATGCTTCTTCAATAACATTTTATTAGCTGTTCTTTTAAGATGGAAATATAGTTTTATGGTCCATTGAAAAATAAAACTTAAAAATAGTAGCTTCTCACCAATTGAGCATGTATATCATTGTTAATTATCAATTTATTCTGTGATCTGGATTAAGATAAGCCCATATTATTTTTATTATAAAATTAGCCTAAAAGTATCAAGTACATTGATGCATCACATTTTGATTCAGTTTGTTAGTATATAAGAAATGAAATAATTTTAGAATTAAATTCTTGAATCACGATTGTCTAATATCCAAATTGTCAATAATTTTGACTATTGTGACCAGGTGCATTTATCTGAATATTTTCCATGTTAATGTTTTTATTAAATCATAAGCTCTTATACAGCGACATAGTTAGGTGTTAGAGGTATGTGATTATCATTTGTTTTTTTTTCTCAGTATTTCGTAAATATAATATTTAGTAGATATATTCAATTGTTACCAATATACATATAAAGAACTATAAAACAATTAAATTAAGGATAATAGCTGCTTAATAATTGTTAATTTTCAGATAACAGTCGATATAAATTTATGCTTACTAATTGCTATTGTAACAAAACTTTATACAATAAGCCTACATGTATACTATAATAATATAACAAATAAATTCTAAGACTTATAACCATTTTAAGATGGGTAGCAATTAATAAAAGTTTAAATTTGAATTTACTTAAATATTAAAAAAATCCTCCCCCAAATTTTTTATTAGATTATTATGTTTAATACAGTTCCTAAAATAACCAAATATTTATACTACACATATAGTCCCAAAACGACCAAGTCTAAATAAAAAAATCGATGCTCTAAAAACTAGCGCCAATGCTAGTGAATTTCTTTAACCATAAATGCAAATTAAATAGCAATATGTAAAAATATATTATTTTTTAACTGTGAACAAAATTTAATTTTTATTAATTAATTATAGTATTGATTTACTAAAAAAAATTAATTTAATTAACTCTGATATTATTATTTATTAACATGATAATGTATTATTTATTATATTATAATTTATAATCTTTTAATTTATTTATACAAATAAAGCAATGAATTTAAATATAGTTGTAATATCTTGTCAAAATGAATATTGTTTAAAGCACAATTAAAATTTTGTACTACACAATTTTAGAGGTTGCCGGATGGTAAGCTGGTTGAATAAAATAAATATTTATTATTTATACAGTTGTCTAGAACAGTTATCAGTTATCACTTATCACTTTATGGCGAGACGATTATGTAAAAACGTTAATAATCAATAATTGATGGATTTATTAGTCATATAAATGTAGTTATATGGTATCATATTCGTATATATACCTACCTAGGTAGGTACTGTTTTAAATTATAATACGGATTACGGACCTTAGTAATTTAATTTAAAAAACATTTAATTTATTTTATTAATATATGTTTTGAATAAATGGAACTGTTTGACGATTAAAACTACCTAACAATTGTATCTTAGTTTATATTTATTTTATATTTTGAAATTTGCAATTCTTTTCGCGCTTTCCCATAGAAAACGTTCTTCAGCCGTCGGTTGGTACCTGAACATTTTACCCTTGTTCGTCACTACTACGTGTGGCGGTACCATCATCAGATACCTGTTAACGTCTTTTGCGTATTCAACTGGTGGCGCGATGACGCAAAAACAAAACAGCTCGTGAAAGTATCCAAACGCGGACCACAAGACGATCACCGAAACGGCGACCGTTAACGTCCAGAATCGGACAAAACTATTGAATTGCTGTCGGGCTGCTAAAGATTCTTGTTCGGTAACCGCTTCTCGATATTGGTGCCACAAGCATTTCGCGCTTCGCAAACCCATATGCAAATATCCGACGACTGCATCCATTTGCAAGATTCGAGATCTGTTTGCATCCAGCAAGTAACCGTTCACGATCGTTTTTGTCGTCTGCGCCTCATAATAGTACTCTTTATTCGCCACCACTGTTACCGCCTCTTTGCCACTTGTTGCAATTGATGTTGCCGATCTATCCAGTGTTTCAAAAACACCACGATTCCCGACTTCTATTCCTGTATAGTCCATCGCCGCCACAGCCTCGTTTAATGATTCCATTCCAACAGCTTTTGCATGCATATAATATTTATCAATATTATAATAGGAAGAAATACTTATTAAACATGAGCATATAGTAATTACATTATTATTTACGCATACCAGAAAAACACGAAAAAGTTATACATAAACTTATAATTCATTATAAAGATAAAATGTTAAGCCCAATGTTCAATGGTCGCTAAGTTAAATCTCGGAAATTTGTTCACATCTCATATCTGTATTCATAAACGAGACTGTCCTGTGTGACTACTTCATAATCAACGCAGAGCCGAACTTATTAGAGCTATATATTTGAAATTGTGAGGGTAGATTAATGTTATAATTTCAACGTGCACTTAATAAATAATAAGGATTTTTCAACATTTTGATTTTAAGGGGTTGAAATCGGCAAAAAACAAAATTTTCGTATAAATTGTATATCTATACACATAGATGAGTAAGCATTTATAAACCGTGAGCCTCTAGCTCACTTTTTAGACATTTTTTCACATGAACAATTTTATATGGCATGCTCCAGACTCAGTACGACCACAAGTTTAGTAATTTTGGCACCAAATGATAAATGGAAGGAAATTCATAAAATGTAATTTATAAAGAAGTTATAATGGTAATACTTGTTTTAAGATCATATAGTATTTTTCCAGGAGGGCAAGTACCCTGTCTTAACCCCCCATCCAATAGACATCCATGGTTACAGTTAGAATATGGCCCTGTATTGCAAATGTCTGAGTTATAATACCTACTATATTATTAATATAAAAAAAAAACGGATGTTAAATTTCAAAGTTAGCGTAGGTAATACAAGACAATTTGGGAATCCCTCCTCGTTACAGCTTCAATTCTAACATAAGTTAATCAATATTGTATAAGTACGATAATATATATAAATATATCATTAATTATTAATTAAAATCAACAACCTATAAACTCCAAAGTAATATATAATAGAATATACCTATATAGAGTATAAATAAGTCTACCTATATTATTGTAACAATAAATCATGTGGAGTGAACATAACTGGTAGATCCTAAAAATATATAATAATAACTATAATTAAAAATTTCAAACATTTACTAACTACCGCGATTAAGCCCAAACGGCCGCTGTAGTGAATAATCTGCCAATTTCGAACGGTCTTCGCGGTGTCGTTGACGCAACGAATTCAACTTTTCAAAAAATGCTGCCATTTTTCCAGCTGAAACAATGTCATCGACTTGCACAGGTGGTAGATCGTCTGTTTCATCGTCTTCATCGTCTTCATCGTCCGTCCAATTAAACGTATTTGTATCTTCTTCGCTGTGGTAAACATCAATGGCCCTCGGCACCCAACAATTGGTCGGCGGAACGAAATACTCGTGTACAACAATAATTATTATTATCAAATGAGAAACGTTGATTGTAGAGTAGTTATGTGCATCAATGAAAATCATTGTCACAAAGTCAGTAACGCAATTAATAAAAAATTTTTATAATATTTACTAAATTATATAATTTATAATATAGTATAGGTAAAATATACCTATATATTATTGTAAGTAAAAATAAAGATTTACACGAAAAACTTGATGAAAATATAGTATGGTTATTATCATGAATTTTCATAAAATTATGATAAACATGTACTTATAATTAAATGATGGTATATTGTATAACTGCAGACATCGCGTAATATTCGGTATTTCGTATTTACGTGTAGCTATGTAATTTTCAATATTTTCCAATAGAATATAACTTTATACATAAAAACATAAAATATAAAATATTTATTATTCTAGCCAGTGAACCACCTTGTGTAAAAAAAAAAAAAAAATAATGAAATATTTATTTTTAAAATTAATAATAGATTCTTTTATAGGTACTATTAAATAATTTTTCAATATGCATAATAATTAATAGAAGTCATATTGTTTATAAATAGATTCTAAATGTTCCCTACATATTACGCGATGTAAGCCTATTATATATATATATATTATTATCTATTAATATAGTGATAATGATTTATTTTTTGCTGAAGTGCTAAATTAGATTAAGCATTGATTATTATTGTCTATTGATATTTGATGAAAATTGTGAGCCGGCCAGATATTATACAGTAGTCTTAATAAATTATGACTATGTATTATTTTTCTTACAATAATTATTAATGTTTTACATTATAAATATGCAAATTTGTGTATTTAGATGTTTGTTACTCAATAACGCCAAAAGACTAGAGTGACTAGACTGATTCGAATATAACTTAGTTACTTAGTACTTAGGTATCAGTAGGTATGTCTTGAAATAACATATATAGGACTATTTGATACTTCCCACCTTTTGATTTTATATTAACTTTAGAACTTTAGAATTTTATTTTAACGTTCAATTTTTTCATATGTAATAAATATATAATGGCTATTTTATTTTATGATATTAAATACAAACCTGATAATTAATATAGCTTAAAAAATTCTCCTTATTTCTCATATGGTCAAGTGTATATCGTCTGTTCAAGAGTATTGAGTGATCACGTGTGTAACTCATATACGTATTTGTTGAAGAGTGAAGGCAACAAATTATACAATGTTTACAGAAACATTTTGAAGTAATATTCAAATGAAAATTTAAACTAAAAGTAAATATATTATTATGATGTAATTTGAAAATTTTTAATTTAATAAGTTGTTATAAAAAAAAGATAGTATTGAATATAACGTTGTACAGTACTATAATGAAACTGTATTTATGACAAAGATTTCAAATAAAAATTAAAAGATATTGCAAACGAAAGCCATAACGAGTAACAGCTAGAAGTAGGTCTTTTTTAACAAAAATTTGAAAAAAAAATGTATTACTACATTTTAGATTTAAAATGAGGTAATGAATATTATATTGAATTTATAATAATTACGTGTTTACTGTATAATATATAGTGTATACCTAAATATATTTATTTTTTATGTATAAACGATACAGCTAAAAAAATGTTTTGATATTCCATATTGAGAATGATTTCTGACATTTAATTAAATTTATTTTATAGTTTTAAGAGTTCAAAATTAAAATAATTCTCGTATTTTTCATAATAATCGTGTAAAACAAACAAAATATTAAAGAAAAACAATAAGTTTGACGCAAAACCATTTTTCTAAAATCAATTTTTTTTTTAATCATTTCAAAAACGAATAACAATAATGTTCAACAAATTTTTTTTCTTTTTGATCATTTTATGTATATGTATGATAAAATTTTCAAAATATTTTGACTTTTTTTAATTATGGTTATTTATAGGCAAGCGTGAGAAATTTAAATTTTTAAACATTTTTTAAAATTATTGTGTATTACAATTTTAAATACAAGATCTCAAATAAGTTATTTTCATAACTGTATAAAAGTATTTAAAATACATAGGGCTAATTTATTTTTTTAATTTTTGAAGTTCATATTTTGACGAAATTTGTTAAAACTACAAATATGAAATATTTGAATATTGTTTTGTAGTAGTTAACAAATGTTAAATAAATATAAAATGATTATTTTTTATAACTAGGACTTTAAAATTTAATATTGAGTTAATAATGCGTATAGCTTATATTGAAACAAAAAAATCTAAAAAATATATAAGCGTAATTTTTTTAATAAACACTTGAAATTCAAATTTGTACGAAATCATATATTTAAACGAAAAATAATGAATAATGATGATTATTTTGTTATTATTCAAAAAAATTATTCGTGATTACTTAAGATTTTTACAGTCTTACGTTAACGTGAATTTTATTATACGTAATAATATTTTTTAAATAACGTAGTATAACTATTCTCACTGCATAATAATAAGAAAATAAGACGAAGATTGATTGACTTAAAAGTGAATAACAATATGTAGTAATGTAGTATACATAACACATATATATTATTACAATAATAAAAAATATACAATGTTTTCGGCAAAAATTAAATCAACCTACTATAATACTAATTGTTAAATAAAATTTATCTCATATTTATTTTTATTCGTGTCAACTTAAAAAATTCTCTTTTGGCCTATAACAATTGAAAATTGGGATGATTAAATACAATCATTACAATCTAATTATAATCAATATATTTGGAAATATATCTTAAATCTGTATTCATAAAGCAATATAAATAAATGAAATATATAACTTTTATCAAATGGTACTTTACTTGAATTCACAATAAGTTCATATTTATTGCAACTTCTATTTTAATTAACAAACTGTATAATATAATTTAAACCAACCTCAAATATTCATGTATTATATGAATTTATCATTTAGTAATTTTTCATGATACGAAATTTGAAACATTTTTATTTTATAATTAACTAGTAAAATTATTTTTAATTTTTTAAAAACTTTATTGAACTAGAGAATTAAATAATATTTCGTGGTTAGAGACGGGCTTCAAGACCTCCCCTATTTAATCATAGAACCGTCTTCAATTCAATATGTGGTCAAAAATCACATAATCTTTCCATCAATTGATAACAACAAACTTGTAGATAAGATCTAAAAGTGCCCAACAGTCAACACTTACCAATTTTTAAGTATAATATCATGAATTTTATAAGTTTTTTTTATTATTATATCACAAATTTTTATCCTACTCTGCCAGTAAAATTAAAATGTTTATTCGTCACCTACATTATTTCATACTTATTCCGCAGACATTGAGAGAACCCAAACAAAATCGAGTTTCTCCGAATTAAATGTTAGTAATATTCACAATCGGATTATCAAATTACCTCTGTCATAACTTTCTGTGAATTTTGATCCCATTTAATTTAATCTAAATATATTTAAACCGAAAAAATTGGTCATTTCTAAAGTCATAATTTATTAATTTATAAAAAATTTTTGACCGCCTCAGTATAACTAGTCATACGATAACATCAGTAGTTGTCATTTACTACAGTGTGTTAAAATATACAGCTAAGATCATCTTAATGCAAGCATTAAAATATTACCTATCGAACATGATATATTTTATTATCGATACATGGACATAATTATTTCACACAAGAACATGTTAAAACATAGTTTTCATAGTATTTTATGTTGGTATGTACTTGCTTATTTACGATACAGAATAAATATTAAAGTTTGATTTTAGTATGTACGCTTTTTCAGGTAACATTTTTATTAAAAATAATAACAAAACAAGTTTTTTTTTTTAAAAAAAACTCTTTGTAAACTAATTTCTTAGGTATATGCATATTAAAATTGTATGAATTTACTACAAAATAATTCATGACATTTTTTTGTTTTAATATCATTAAAAATTTAACTTTAAACGTTCATAAAAAATTACAATAGATTTACGTTTAATTTTGTTTCTCTATTTTTTTAATTTTAATACTTAAAACTTATAAACAAATGTTGCCTTACTTTCTAAACTTTGTTGACTAAGCATACATTTTTTATAATTATTTATAAAAAAAAAAATTAAAAGAAAACTTTAGTTAACAGATAATTTACCAATAGATTTATAGATATACATATATAAATTTATGGCTTAGAATCTGTTATTTTTAGCTTCAAACTTGATTATATCATAATATGATACGACTAAGTATTTATCACCGAAGGTATGAAACTTGTTATTTGTAAAAGTATAATCGGAGAAAACTATAGAATGTGTAACAGAAAAAAAAATTGTTCATGGAATCATTTTGGATGTCAAACACTAGGTGAATATTTTATTTTATACCTGGAAATCCACGTTATATTATTAGCTAATGTTCAAGGTATATTATTGTTTTATTGCATACCACTTGCATATGACCTTTTATTTTGGTTTTTTTTTTTTATTGTTTTAATATTTTTAATGTATAAAAATAAAAATAAAAATATATATTATCTGGTAATAAAATAATCAAATTAAATTTTGACTGACAACATTTGTTTTAAAATTATTATACATAGTGAAATGTTCAAAATATTTATAGACATGTGCATTGTACATATTATGACATTATATACAATACGTCAACACTTTATTATGTTAGAGCTATGTATGAATAGTGTTTAAAACAATTATAAAATAACTAAACCGATTAGTAGAATTTATGTTTAATAAATAAGTGATGTTATAAATAATTGTTTAAATATAAACAATTGTAATTTTAACAAAAAAAAATATATTATTAGGCTGAAATAAAAATAATTACATTATTTGCATGAAATTATTATCAACCCGTGTACTCGATTATTCAAAAAATATTAAGATTACCTATAAACGATTTATATGATATTACTCATTGTATTGTATTGTATTTACATAAAAATTGTGTTTTTAAAATACTAAAAAATGGATTTAAAACATAATTATTTCAAAAAGCCAATTTTTTCTATTAAAAAAAATGTTTGTACTGTAAAAAAGTAAACCTCTTTAAGCCGATATATAAATACACAAATTGTAC